AACTGATCTAAAAAAATGTAAACATTTTTAAAATAAGTGTATTTACCCAGAATTTATTATTTCAAAGATAAATTCAGCTTTACATGCTTACATGATCAAATCATGGGAAAATATTATTTTTCATGACTTGCGTATATTTAAATGTTTGCAGTGTATATTTTTAGTTTAGTGGCCATAACGGGCCAGGATCAGTTCTATATGGGCACTGGCACTTTTAATTATATGATTTCTTAACTAGAAGTCTTAAATTTTTATTTCATTCAAAGTATAATATTGACAAACTGTGCCTAAACTGTCCAATTATCACAAACCAATGCTCTTACCCTGGTTTCTGATTTACAAGAATTCTCATTTCTTTACAAAAACACTTATTTTTTAACGGGTTTAGTAATGAGATAATTTTTGTTAAGCATTTGCTGAACTCTGAAGGACAACTACTCTTCTATTCTGAATGGTTGTCCATCTACTATCTTCCTGTGACTCCCAGGTAGTTTGCCATCGTTATAAAAGCCGTTTCCATAGAAATCCTCAGGCTTTTTAAGGCTGTTGTCTCTCTCTGTAGAAAACAGGACTGCAGGTATTCTCCCCAGTTTGCTACAGACTGCATTTGGAAAAATGTGTTTTTCTTCCAAGCCTTCCACCAGAAGCAGAACTGTATGATCCCTTTTCCAGAGCAACTTAGCCTTACATAACCCACTAATGGAGACAGTTTGTTCCTACCATCAAATGGACATCTGTATGGACTTTAACTTCTAAATACTTTATCAAAAACAAACCTCAGTATATGTGCTTCAAAGTTCTTCAATGGTTTTATCCTGCAAAACAAAACCCGCCTAAGTATATAGACTGTTATTGTTCTTTTTTTGCATTTTGGACGTTGAGACAATGGTGTGCTTATTCAGGAAATGGCCATTCACTCTGACATTTTCGAAAAACTATTTTTGTTATATTCAGCCTCAGATCCTTGAGTATATTGACGTGCTTCTGGCTTATAGGACGTCTGCGCCTCTGAAAATAACAACTTTTATATCATCAATCTTTTATTAATACTGCAAAGTTCGATATTCATAAATTCAAATTTCCTTCTACTGAATCATAATAATGATAAAAGAAACATTATTAGAGCAGAAGTTTCACATTAGCTTCTGCTAACATACTTGAAGAAAATGAACGACTAAAGTGACATCTAATTATCTTTTAATTGTCGTAACACATCTTTCTAACTGCTGGAGTTTTCTTCAGGGGGGCTATAAATTGAAAATAGACGTATACCAAAAACAAATCTAATGTATACTTAGTTATCACACCAGTATATTTATATGAATGCCAATGACAAAAAATATTATAAAAACACTTTATAAAAACAAAGCAGGTTTAATTTTTGTACATAAATCTTGCTCTTCTGAGGCTTTGTGAAGGCAAATCTGTGTTTTGCATGGTCAAATATTTTTTCAAAAAGCAAATAAAAAAAAATTCATCAGTTTAATAATAGAGAAGCTATAAGTCAGCTTTATATTTTTTTTAATATATAAAAACTTTTTATTTTCTAAGAATGTGTTTATTTAAGAGCAACTATGCAAATTAACAAACATCTAGAAAAAGTAGACTATATTATATTATTTTCCATGTGAATCCCAGATTGTTCATTGTTCTTTGGCTTTTCTAAAAAGTGCTTTAAATCAGCCCTACCTGTTTTTATCCATGCTGGGTCAGATCCTGAGCTTTGAAAGAGGAGGCAGCCTTACTACATGCAGTTAGCCAAGCCTTATAGCTAAACAAGGTCCTGGAAAAGGACTGTTGTTGCAACATGTCTCTCTCTTTCACGTCTGCACTGTGGCGGGAGGTGGTGAGCAAATACACTTGCTTAAATTATTAAAAAAAAAATATATATATATACTTTTAATGTCTTAATCAGGCTAGAGTCCTGCACGGGTCGAGTTTTACCAACCCGCACCCGCCCGAACCCGTTAGGATGACTACCGAACCCGACCCGTCACCCGCGGATATCTTCAATTCAAATCCGAACCCGACCCGACCCGTTAACACATCAAGTAATAGGCTATAGTACGCTGCACTGCAGAGCAGCGCCATTAACACTGCAGCAGACGTGTATGCACTGACTGTGGCCTTTTTGGAGGGAAGCCCACACTGCCAGCAGGGCTTTAAGCTACAACAAGGGTGACCCCAGTGCCTGATTAATAGAACATTTCTGATGTCCATAACAATAGACACGCATTAAAAAAAAATCACCAACTACTCGCCCGCACAAAAAAAATATTCGCCCGACCCGTTTATTTTTATTTATGTATTTTTCAGCCGCAAAAGAGCATTCTTTTTTACCCGCGGGTACCCGACCCGTTGCAGGACTCTAAATCAGGGTCATTGGGTGGGTGGGCCGGCGCCCTCTGTTGGCCAGCCGCCATTGCTTTCTAATATATCATAGAAAAGTATTTGATCCCTATGCTAACCATAGACAATCTCAGTTAAACACTTCTTCTAGCATTAATAATAATTTAACTTTATTGATCTGGAATTGCAGAATTTTAACCTATCCCCTTTAGGGAGCAGTGGGCTGCCATTGTGCGGCACTCAGGGAGCAGGGTGGGGTTAAGCCCAGCTTACACTTAGCGATTTTTTTCAGTCGTTGCACGCAACTGCTGCTCACACTGTACGACTAACCGCAGAGTTTAGTCGTACAGTGTGAGTTCACAGCTCACGATTTATGTGTGTCCCAACGCTCTGATGCGATCGGCCTGCTCAACCTGCACGACTAAATACCACGTCGGACTCAGCTCCGCAGTGAGATTGAGCTGCTCTGACTCGTCTATCCAGAAGCCAAACGAGTAGAAGAGGAATATGAAGCTCACTAGAGTGAAACGTGCTGCCTTGGCAATTTGTGCAATTTTGTGCTGAAAGCCGTAAAAAGAAAAGGCGACGACATATTTGGAAAAAGGACATGGCTCAGTAAACGTGGCTACTACGGTCTGTCAATTTTACAGACAGAACTGCATTTCACTCATTGCATCCCTGCCCTTCTGCTGTGTTTACATCTGAGATGAAGAATTGAAAGAAAAATCCTTGTTTGCGCCAGGGTTCCCGCGGGTCCTTAAAAAGTCTTAAAAGTCATTGAATTCTTCAAAATAAAGGTAAGGCCTTAATTGGCATTAAAATGTCTTAAATCAGTCTTTCGTAGGTCTTAATTTTTAAAACATCATAAATAGGATCATTTTTATTACGATTTATTTTTGTAATCTAAATAAAATGTTTAATTTTATTATTAAAAAAAAAATAACGACTCGCCATTATTGGTTCCGTCCCGATAGCGGAACCAATAAAAGCGTTGTTGCGGCCGGGACATTTGGGAGATGCACCATTTACTTTTTGTCTGGAAAATATGAGCAAGTGTAAATGTAACGAAATTTGGCTCCAGCCAAGAGTTTTCTTCATGGCTACAACCAGTACCAGGGGACATGTATGAGGCTCAGTGGATTTTGTGCAAGAAGCGATTCAAGCTCAGAACGATGGGAATTAAGGCAGTGGAGTCACATGCGAAGTACGAAACACAAAGCGTCAAAATTAAGTTACAGAGAAACAGCCGGTATTTCTCAGTTTTGTTCCACCCTTGTCTCTGCAACGCCTCCACTTATCACCAAATCAAACATACTAAGAAAACGATACAAAGAAAAATAGCTGCAAAAAAGACTTAGCACTGGTTATGTTGTGGCTTTAAAACTGATTTGTTTTGTTCCCTGCTAAAACAAAGTTTGTGAATTCAGTTAAATAATTGTTAAAATATATCTGTCATTTGTGTGTTTTTAGCTTTCTTCCTCTATGGGAAGTTTTTTCAAAATTTTAAACATTAGTGCAGTGGTTTATGTTAAAATAAACCTTTGGGTTAAGTTGTCGCAAGCAGGTTTTTCTTGTGTTTCTTGTGAATTTGGTCTTAAATTTTTATTTCAAGTGGCATTAAAAAGTCTTAAAAAGTCTTGAATTTAACTTGCCTTATGCTGTAGGAACCCTGTGCGCCCTGAGCGATTTGCCCACGACAATCGGGAGAAAATCAAACGTTTGATTTTCTGTTTGATCGCCCCTCGTTACCCCCTGTAACCTACACGCCTCATGACGCACGATCAGGCTGAAAGTCGGCCCAATCAAAAAATTCTCGCACGACTGGAAAATCGCCCCGAAAATCGCACAGTGTACGCCGGGCTTTAAGGGTTTTTTGCTCAGAGACCCAGAGTGGCAGTCTGTGGGAGTGGGGCTTGATCTGAGAACCTCAGGATTCCAAGCTTTACGCCCTAACCACTAGGCCACCATTACCCCATGTTTCCTCTTCCTCGGTTTGGTCCTCCTCGTCTCCATTTCATTTTGTGGTTTCTACATTCTCATCATATTTTAGTGCGCTGCGATTCAAACTAAAAATTATACTCATTGCTGTTTTAACTGGACAGACCTAGCGCTACAGAACCTAGCTTGCTTCATTTATCCAGCATAAACAACATGGCGACATCGACGTGAGAATATTTTATTACAAATCAAAAGCTTACAGTGTTTTTACCGTATTTTGTTTACATTGAAAATATATATATATATTTTTAAATAAAGTCTTTTAGAACTAATCATAGATCCCTTTAAATGGCATTGAAATACTTTCTTCAAACTCCACAGAGAGAGAATTTGGTGAAGCTTAGACTTCTCATCACATTGTTAATATTTAGCATTTTTCTTCTAAAGGTGTGAATCATTTGATGTTAGTCCAAAGAGGCAATCCAAAACTGAATAGAAAACCATTATATTTTTCATTATTCTTGGATTCTAAATACATTTCTTGCATTAAAAACATTAGAAATGAGGGTGGGCTAGTTGGACAGCGCTGAATTGCTGGCTCTGTTTTCCTCACTGATACCTGTGGCCCTTGGAAAGAAATGTGAGACGGAGCATGGCTGCCATTTCCATCTTCACAAAAGCCGTGTCATGTGTTTCTTTTTTTTTCCTGTTAGGCTCGATGGTGAAGATGAACAGGAATTTGAGAAACTGCATTCCTTCAATAGTACGACTGACACGTCCACCCCTGCAGAGGGGGGTAGTGACAACAATAGCACAAAGAAAGAGGAGCCACAGACGAGTCAGCTTGGCCAAACAGAAGGTGAGCACCCTAAGGGAGAACGTGAATCTGAAACCTCTCTCTGTTCATTGTCCTGAAACCCCATGCTTGCTTTTTTTTTCTTTTACTGCAGGAGGTAGCCGAGTCTGGAGCGTATCCGAGGGTGCTGAGCCATTTCTCTCCAAAGGAAAACCAAAGGAAGCATGCCCAAAAGAAGAGGAGGCTGAGAACAGCAAGGACGAGACAAGGCCTAAAGGAAAGGAAGCCAGGGAGCCTGAGAGAGATGTTTATACCTTCCCTGGAGACTCCGACCCAGAGAGTCCGCCCCCTGCTCCTTGGGCTCAGTGCACTTTCATTCAGCGGCGCAGGAGGAAGAGGGCGCTGCTCAGACCCTTATCTGGAATGGGATCGCCTGAAGCTCACATGTCAGAAAGACCGAGTCCTCAAACATCTAAAACAGCTGAGGCGGCTCCGCTCAGTCCATCACAGGTTTATGAATTCGAGGAAGATGACGAGACGGTGAAGTTCACAGACGAAGTTGAGGAGAAAAGCGAGCCGGGGTCCGGAAACGAGATCTTCACCTGTGTGGAGTGTAGCATTTACTTCAAAAAGCAGGTCCACCTGCAGGAGCACATGGCTGAGCACTGCCAGACCCCAGCGGGAGGAAGCAGGCGTTCAGGAAAGGGCAGCCGGTTACGGTGTGCGGAGTGCGGCTGGATGCTCCCAAACCGCCCGGCGCTGGCCGACCACCAAAGGAGGCACCAGGAGTCCCGTCTGAAGATTCTGGAGGAGATTGAGAAACTGAATGAAGTGGAAAAGGCAAAAGAGTCGGAAGGAGAGGAGAGTGGAGCGCTGAAGCACGCCGACCCAACTGTTACGCAACATCCAGGGGAAATGTCAGATGGCGAAATGGGGAAATCTCCTCCTCCGGCCACAGATTCATCCTCAGTTCAGGATCCAGATTCTGCTGCCATAGACGTGGACTCTGTTCCTCCAAATTCAGCCCGAAGCCCAGCACAGGCCCACCGCCGCCGCTTTGTCTGCAGCGAGTGTAACTTCAGCACAAGAACTGCCCAGGCTCTGGCTAATCACTCCAAGATTCACAAGAGGAAGAGGCAGATCCTCCATCCCCAGCGGGGTCAGAGGGTTCTAAAGGAGCGCCAGGCTCTGGTTCAGCCCGAAAATATGCCAGTTGAGCAGGACAGGGAAACCAGCCCGTCTCTAACATCTAATGCACAAGTTCTTGACACCGATCCAGGTTGTCAGTACCTCTCTGAGTGCGAATCCCCACCTGCTGCTGCTGCTGCCACAAGCCACGGGGATGTCACTGCCTCAGAGGACAGCACGGCATCAGACCATGGAGCTGCCCGGCACAACTATGTCACAAACAGGACATTCAGGACAGCAGGGAAGTCCAAGTTTGATCCCGAGGCAGATGATGACGCACTGCCTGAGAGTGAAGAGGAAGAGGAGGAGTGTGATAACGGCGAGGAAGAAAAGCCGTCCCGGCCAGAGGCCGACTCACCTGTGGGCAGGAAGCTGAACGGTCCAGGTGAGGCTGCAGGGAAGAATGGATACTTCAGTCTGGATGGTAGATTTCACAGCAGTTACACTTACATACAGAATATAGTTGAACCCAAAACTATTTATACCCGTGGTAGATTTAGGTTTTAAAGCAGCATCTGAGCTTTAATACATTTCCTCAGACAAGCAGACTTTATAGGGATGGAGACTCTGGGGATAAAAAAAATTAAAAATTTCACAATAATCAGTAGAAGGAAGGTCAGTGATCTGTCTTCTACTGATTATTGTGAAAATTCATTTTTTATGGCATATTTTAATAAACTACAGAAAAACTATAAAAAATACTTTTTAAAGTTGTCAGATCTTTGTAATATTATGTATTAGTTACGCCCTTTTTATTTTCTGTCCATCCATTCATCCATCCATCCGTCCATCCATCCGTCCAGCCATCCATTTATCTGTCCAAGCATCCATCCATCCAACCATCCATCCGTCCATCCATCCATCCGTCCATCCGTCCAGCCATCCATTTATCTGTCCAAGCATCCATCCATCCAACCATCCATCCATCCAACCATCCATCCGTCCATCCATCCATCCGTCCAGCCATCCATTTATCTGTCCATGCATCCATCCATCCGTCCATCCATCCGTCCAGCCATCCATCCATCCATCCATCCATCCAACCATCCATCCGTCCATCCAACCATCCATCCATCCAACCATCCATCCGTCCATCCATCCATCCGTCCTGCCATCCATTTATCTGTCCATGCATCCATCCATCCGTCCATCCATCCGTCCAGCCATCCATCCATCCATCCATCCATCCATCCATCCATCCATCCATCCGTCCATCCATCCGTCCAGCCATCCATCCATCCATCCATCCATCCATCCGTCCATCCATCCGTCCAGCCATCCATTTATCTGTCCAAGCATCCATCCATCCAACCATCCATCCGTCCATCCATCCATCCGTCCATCCATCCATCCGTCCAGCCATCCATTTATCTGTCCAAGCATCCATCCATCCAACCATCCATCCGTCCATCCATCCATCCGTCCATCCATCCATCCGTCCAGCCATCCATTTATCTGTCCAAGCATCCATCCATCCATCCATCCATCCATCTGTCCATGCATCCATCCATCCGTCCATCCATCCGTCCAGCCATCCATTTATCTGTCCAAGCATCCATCCATCCATCCAACCATCCATCCGTCCGTCCAGCCATCTGTCCATCCATCCGTCCATCCATCCATCCGTCCAGCCATCCATTTATCTGTCCATGCATCCATCCATCCGTCCATCCATCCATAAGTGTCTGAATACGCTTTTTCCCATGTTATCAACACATGCATACATGTAATATGAAATGTTTCATCTGTGAAAGTGCTTTCCCACCCTAAATTCTAATGTTTTATACAAGAAATTTATTCAGAAAATCTGAATATGAATTGCAAAGTTGCAGCTTTGCAACCATACAGGTATTGATTGCACATAATTGAGTATGACTCTCCAACCCATGATAGAGCTGCCAACCATCTGATGGTTTCAATGCTCCTGAATGTTGTTCCACAAGCATCATTAAGTGAAAAGTGAACAGGAAATAGACAAAAACAGAACCATAGAAAGATAAAACATTTGACTGATGGGTTTGTTTTTGTCCTTTTTCCTCTTCCTGTCATTAAAGACTAAGACGACTACGAACACATTTAGTTTCCTTTATTTTTATATTTTTCCTGCAACAGAAAAATCTGAAATGTTCCTCCAATAATAATTAGGATTGATGTTGTTTTTTTTTATTTCTAGGGATAATTTTTAAAATATAAAAAAGGATTAGGGAAAGTGAGGATCAACCTCTGAAAATTTAGTCTAACATTGTTTTCTTCTCAACTCTGGGACTCTGGTTTAAAAGGACAAGCTAACATTCCTCAAACCTCCCGTCCCCACTCTGCACACAGACCTACCAGAACCAAACTGCTGATACATTCAGTCGTCTGTCGGCAACACATTGTAGCATTTAGCTGCTAAAGGTCAGATGTTTTCCTTAGGAGGTTGTGACACAGTACAGCGGAGCTAAAAAAAATATATTTTTTTAAGTTGACTGAGTTTTTCTTGCATGATACTGATGAATAACTACAAATAAATAAAACCAGTTGAAAAGCTGGAGTTTCACCTGCACCTTTCTATTATTTGAGTAATTGATTTTTCTGTGGATTATTTTTTAAATTAAACAAATAATCCAAACTGATATTCTTTCAATAAATTAAAACAAAATCTAAATAAACACATTTTGAATTTAGAAAAAATGAACTTGATTCCAAAATGTGTAAAAACATTAGATGCACGTTAAGATGTGTTTTGTTCTAATTACAGCTGTGGGCAAGCTTGGACTGGTAATCTGTGATAATCTGGTGGGCCGATCATAATTTCAGCGTGCGAGGGCCGGCCCTCCCTAAATCATAGCGGCCCCAACACTTACACTCTGGCCGAAACACATACCTGTGACAGTAAATAACTAACTAGAGACGTAATACAATGTTAGCTCCCTAAATGGTGCATGCAGTATATATAGCCCTTCCTTGTCATGCACATCCTTATGACGATTGGCATATGGGGCAATTTTCTATTTCTTCAAACTGTAAAATCCTTGCAACAAACTAAATTATAATAAAACTAAAAAGCTTTCTTTAAACTAAACTATGATGTTCCTTTTATATTTGGTGAATTTATGCTCAAATATTTTGCAAAAATATGTTTTGGTGCATGATGGGTTTTTGCATCTAAAGGCTATCGTTTCCCGTCTTACATGAATGGTTGCCAGGTTGGGATGTTTCCCAATCTGGCAGTTTAGGGTGGCAGTCTATGGGTAAAAAATGTTTTTCTTTAGATTTATGAGAGATCGATAGACTTTGGTTCAAATTGGGCGAGATTTCGTATATCCAGGTGGTCTGAAAATTTTTCGGGCTGGAAAATGTAACTCAGTGACGGCACTGTATGTGTGAGTGGGTGTCTGGCTGGCTTTGTGCAAGTGTGGATGTTAAGCAGCAGCAGTCGCTGTCGCGTCCGTGTTAATAACCAAAGCCAGTAAAACCGCTTTATAGAAGTCTTGGTGATGGATGTCGTTGGATGCTTGAAGATGGATCGGTTAATCCACAATGTGTATTCGTATTTCACGTTTGAGACGCACAAGTTTGACTGTCCTTCTATTTATTTATTTTTTCAGGGGAGGGGGGTCTATAAGTGTGTTGGTGTGGATGGAAAAAAGCTAGGGCCGAAACTTGTTCCCAGTCCAAGCCTGGCTGTAGGCGGGTTATCTTTCAACAGATGGCAGATTTTAGAGTCTGTGTACCACTAATCTATGGAGAGAATTTTGTTCCATCACTATTGCAAGTAAATAAATGATTTTAAATAGAAATGTGTAAAAAATTCAATGCAGAAGTGAAACTTTGAAAAACATATTAAACACGGATTTAAGAGTAACTGCTGTTTTCTCTGATTTTTTTTGTTTTTATTTTTTGTACGGATTGCATTCTTTTCTAAATTTAATTTTGCAGATCTGTGTCCGAACGTTTGCCCTAACCCCTAGATCCCTCAATCACTACATACAGCAGGGACTATATAGTGGGCTTTATAGTGAACTCAGTTAACTGAATGGTCGGACAGATGATCACTGCTTTTCGCTCCCCATTGGTCATTTAACTCCGCCTCCAACATGTGGTGCCTACGCCATTTTTGTTGATAGCTGGCCGCGATGACGAAACCCATAATGCTTTGCTAGGAGAGCTCTCCACACTAAGCATTATGGGACATATCACCTCGTCTTGTGATGATGGATGATCACTACTTTTCAAGATGCATTTTGTGAAATTTTGAGTCCACTACTTTTTCATCCACTAGACATTCAGACACTCATTTAAAATGACGTAACCACTATATAGTTCCCTATATAGTGATTAGGGCGCACATTCGGACACAGCCGCTGTCTTCACTTTTGGGGCTGGACTTTTCTCTGGAGTGAGGAACAAAGATGCATTTCTATTGGCCTGAGTGGATGCTTGCTAGCAACAGAGTTTTGATTTGTAAAAGAAGAGAAGACAATGTGATCTGCAATTCATAAAACAATCTGAAAAAAGTGAAATTTGAAACAAAAAAAAAAGGAAACACGAAAGCTTAAAAAATATTGGAAAAAAAAATCAAGTTTAAGAAATGAAAAATTTAGAAAAACTTGAGAGTAAAATAATTTGAAAAAATAAAAGAAGACATCAAAGTTATAGTCCAAACATTTTTTTTTTTATCAAAGTTTTGTTTCTGGATTGCATTTTATGTAAACTTCCATTTACGAAACCTGTTTTTGGCATGAAAAGATAACGGAACAAAACTCACTCCATATCATAGGTAAAGATCCGATTCACTTACCAAATGAGTTAATGAAAAACTCTATAATCCATTGATTGTATTATTGATCTCAGCTTTATACTGGAAGAGTAGATGATCATATTTAGCTTGATGTGATAAAACCGGTCACTCAGCTTTAGTTTCTGTTCATTAAATCAAATAGTAAAGATGCAGGTAACAATCCTTGAATCTCATTCTGTGAATTTTATTGGCACTAATCTCACTCCATAGTTTTGTTCTCTTGACAGAAGCTTCTTCACCACCTTCTAAGAAACGTGCAAAGGTCCAAGGAGAACAGGAGGCGCAGAAAGAAAGGAAGGTTTTCTTTCTGAGGAGAAGCAGCAGGGTTACCGCGGCCCAGGCGCCGACCAACAGCGACGAAGACGACGACGCCGACGAAGAACACGTCCCGTTTTACCTGTCAGAGGGCGTCTTTGACGGAGACGAAGATGACATGGATGAGGAGGCGCTGAGGAGCGTGGAGAGGAAATGCCCCTACTGCCCCGATCGGTTTCATAATGGAATCGGCCTGGCCAATCACGTACGAGGACACTTGAAGCGAGTGGGCGTCAGCTACAACGTGCGTCACTTCATCTCTCCAGAGGAAGTCAACGCGATTGAGAAGAAGTTCTCCTATCAGAAGAAGAAGAAAAAAGGTCAGGCTTTATCCCCTTTGAGAGAGAAGTTTCAGGTCCCAGTCACTCTCAGCTGGTTCTCTAAAAGAACCTGTTAAGTTCTACCATCCGAGAGCCACGTCTAGTTCATATACATCATTAGAAAATTGTATTTATTTATTTTTTGATCCTCTCCTGTAAATTCATAAATAATAATATTTCTCTCATTATCTTTGCTAACAGATCCTCTAATAACTTTAAGAGACTAGAACACAGGAGTTGGAGCTAGATTTAAGAAAAACAACCGCTGATACTAGAAGACCAAAGTGTGAACTGAGTTGGAAAATAATATTTATGGCTCCGGGGGGGGGGGATTAATCAGCTGTGGACTCCACCGATTGCAGAGCATTGACCTATTTAAAGCTCTGACAGGTGATTTCAAAATTAATGGAGTTAATCTGATGCTAATCCGAGTTTTTAGATGAACTGAATTTATATGCCGATTTTCTGATTATTTTCACCTCTTGAAGCGCTTCACATTAGAGCCATGTTTATCCAATCTCAGTCACAAACACACATTTACACATGGAGGCAAAGTCATAGCCAACTTACAGAGTCGAGATTCTTTTTAAAAAGAGATGTGAGATAATATAATATATGCCCTATTTGCACTGACACTCTGAAACCGATCTGAACCGAGCTTGAATCAGTTGAATCTTACAACCATTTACACATCACGCTAGCATGGTTCGACAACTCGTATCTGCGATCCACGATACTACACCTCTCCAGGCATTAATTAGGCCAACAAAAATGGCGGCGTCCATTACTTTCATTAAATTGTGTGCCTGGATAGCCTCCGCCCAAATTTCAATGAGAGCCTTGGTCTCTGCATCATCTCAGGTCGCACTGCGCTCTTTTAATGCCATTTATTGTTAACAAGCTGAGATGAAGTTCGTGTTGTGAACAGGTGAAGAGATCTGTGAATTGCAAAGCCGGACACGCCGGAAAACCTGCGAAATGAGTCACTGACTGTAAATAGGAGATGACGCGTTCTGCTCATGGTCGCTTTGTTATCAGAGAACCGAGCCACTAATGAACCGTGCCGAGCCCTAATGTTGAACTAGTACTAGAACTAAAACTAGTAGTTTATTTGTGATTTGAGATTAATTCTGCTGCTTCTGCAGACTTTATTTAAAAAAAATAAAATTAATAGGATTTTTTTTTCATATTGCTTTTTAAATTTTATTTTCACCAATTTTTTTACTCATTTTATAGTGTTATTTTGTATTTCTCTTGATCAGATTTTAGTAAAGTTTTAGGAATTGCATTTTTTTTCAAATGTCATTTTACAGATCACATTCTCTTCACATCAATAGACGACCAATAAAAACATTGCTAAAATCATTAACGGCTGATAGAAACGTGTTTTCATTCCTCACTCTGGGGGAAAGGCAGCCACCACAAGTAGGAGAGAATGTCAAAAGAATGCAGATTGTAAAACTTAATCTAAAAAAGAGAAATTTTTAATTATAAAGACATAAAAAAAAAAAGTTACTAAAAAAATATTTTTATAAATAGGAAGTTTTATTTCTGGGTTGCTTTGTTCTCAAACTTCCATTTAAAACACATTTCCTTCCATTTCATTTTGTTTTTACATTCAGAAAATGTGTTTCTTGCTTACAACAAGAATGGAACGAAAATCGCAACATCTTGTTTTAATATGGCTACGTTCACACTGCAGCCTGAAGTGACTAAAATTCGATTTTTTTGGCCCATATGCGAGCTGGATCCGATCTTTTCATGGCAGTCTGAACAACACAGATCCGATTTTTTCCAATGCGACCCAGGCCACTTGGCTATGTGGTCCTAAATTCGATGCAGATTTGATCTCTTCAAATGCGACCTATGTGGGAACGTTCAGATCGCATTCATCCGATCTGAACAACATTTATACCCGACAAAGGTCCCTATTCTGGGTCTTGCTATGAAGAAGCAGCAAGAAAAACAACAACCATGACAGACGATGATGCGGAAAGCTGTATTTATGTTTAACCATTTTGAAGAGCTTGTGTTTTTATGGTTGGGAAAGATCGCTAGATGCTCTCCGGCACTACCATCCATATTTACTTCCATAAACACAGAGCACGCTGGCCTGTGATGTCATTGCATCCTCTGCTGCGCATGCGGGACACTTGCGTTGTATGACTACAGTTCACACAGGAGATCACATACAAGTCACATATATTTGGAAACATGAACGGCAACGTAAAAAAGAATCGGATTTAAAAGAAAAATCGGAATTGAGCATCAAGGCCTGCAGTGTGAATGTAGCCTACTGTGAATGTTCCTGTGTGACATGCGGGACATGGCTTTACTTCAACATAAATCATATATTTGTAAGCAATCCTCGATAAATGCTGCCAATATTTCTAGGAGGCTGATTTTTTTTTCTTTCTATTTCCACCTTTACATGATAAAAATGTCAAAATGAGGAAAACATTTTACACAAGTCTCCATTTAAACGACGGCAAAAGAACTATTCAAAGAAAAATTGTAGCTGTTTCCAGTCATAATTATGAATTTTTCCTTGAGGATTAATACAGTGTTTTTGAATTGAGTTGAAATTTAGGTGAGCGACTTATGTTTCATAAACTTTATTTTCCGAAATTCCATTGCACAAGATTCATTAAATTAGATTCCTTGCCTTAACAAAACAATAATAAGCTATAGATAGAAAATGATGTTGATTTATGCAAGCTATTGCTAAACATCATGCATCGACATGTCCTTGATCAGCACTTTAAAATAAACCAAATAACTGAGACTCTTTCCCAATCAGACCTGGAAGCTAAATGAAAAGGACAATCCTTTATCATTGAGTTGGTTATTAACCTTAGAGGAAGAAGATATGGTCGATCAGTGGGCTAGAGAAAAAGGATAAGTGAAAAAATCCTGAAAAAATGTATGGAACTGTACACATAAAACATTCATAATGCGCAGGAGGAATTGCTTGTGTACGTGTGTTTAAATAAAGCTGCTATCATGAGTACTTATCATGCGTTTGCCCTTTTAACAGAAATCTGACCAAAGTCTGAGCAGTAGCACAGAACATAACAGGACAATGCTTACATTACAAACATTAACAATGGATAGGAAATGGAGAGAGGCTATAAATGTGCTTCGCTTGATTTCAAGGTGTGTCTGCTGAATGGAAAACATGCAGTTAACAGCCAACGTCGATTCAACAAAGAGCCCCTAATATTGGCCCAAAATATTAGCGAGGCCGATGGATTTTATTGGTTTATCTCTACTTCTAGCTGCTGACTTCTTCTTTTTAGCCCAAATCAAATGGGATATGGGACAGCACTGGTTTAAGTTGGAAGGGCCAGAGTTGGTCTTTGAGTTCAAACAAATAACTGGGTTTTGGTAACCTGTAGCACTAACCAAGCATTGGAACAGGTTTGGAGTAAAAGTCTACCAAATCATGTATAATAATGAATTTAAAAGCTGGCAGTCCAAAGTAATGAACTGAATTGTAGATCATATTTTGGTCAGAGGTTAAAATCCTCTTTAAAGGCGTAGATATATATATTCCTCATTTTGTCTTGGGGTCCTGTTCACGAGAGAGATGTGCTGGTGAAGATTCTCAGTCATCCAGGTCATAGTCATTTAAAAAAAAGTTAAAAAACAATCCACTGGACTTTGTGACCAAGTTTGAAGATGTTTCACTTTCCATCCATGAAGGTTTTTCAATTCAAAATGAAAGTAGATGGATCTGCTTCTACTATAATGACAATGCTGTTGTGAGGAGACAAAGGGCAAAGAAAAGGCATGAAAAGGCAAAGCTCTCGATTTACTGGTCTGTGTTTGTTCCCGCCCTTATCTGTGGTCATGGAATCTGAATCATGTACGAAAAAATGAAATCCTGGAAACAAGAGGTTGAAATGTGCTTTCCCCGCATGGTGGATGGTTTCTCCTTCAGAGATAGGATGAGGAGCCGGGTCATCCGGAAGAGACCCGTACCAGAGCCGTTTCTCCTCCACATCGACAGTGATAGTGGAGGAGGCTCAGTCATCTTTTTTGAATTCGCCATAGCTAGGCATGTTCCACTGGAAGGAGGTTCAGGGGATGAACCAGGAAACTCTGGCTGCATGGGAGCGCCTCAGAGTCTGGGGAAAGGGAAGTCTGGGAGTCTCTGCCCCCAGGAGCCGACCCCGGATGAAGCGGAAGACGACGCGTACAAGAAACATTTTGGCTCATCGATGATGCACTTGAACTGTTCTTTATTGGCAAAATAACACACAGAGAGACTTACAACATCAACACTGACCATTTCCTGGAATATCTGAAGTCCCTGTTTGGCAAATACAGCAACCAAAACCAACCTGGCCTTTGGTGAAAGACTGAATGTCACAACAAATGCCCTCCACCGTGTGTAATACCCGTGATTGACTTTTGGTTTACTCTTCTTTGTGTGATTGCTTTATCAGCCTGTTTGAAGTCATTCCACAGATTCTTCTTCAGTTTGAAGTTCAGACTTTGATTATTTAAAGGTGGACTTGATGATGTGTTTTTGATTACTTGTCAAGTTACATCACCCCTTAAATTTGAGTTCACAAACTGATGAAAGACTTTATCTAATGGGACTTCCTGGTATTGATTATCCATCAAATATAGGAAGTTGTTTAGTGGGGGTTACTTTTTACCAAAGGGACCAGGGTAGTCTGGATAGCTTCTTCTCCAACGCTAATTATATCTCTGATATAATTTAAGAAATAAAAAGATAAGTGTTTCAAAAAAATATGAGAAGGAAGATACGTGAAGCATGTTTGTTTAATTTGCACCACGTTTTTGAGAGAGTGAACAAGATTCGATGAAACTTCTGAGTTCTTGCTTTATTGCTTTTAGAATAAATGCAACTTTAGTTCATAAAATATATCCGACATGCTAAGAAAAGGATAGCATTAGTTACCATAATGTTGGCAAAACTTATTTGTTGCCTCCTTTTCCGAAGCTGTTAATTAGGAAAATCTTGTCATAAACGTCATTGTTAGTTGAACAGAACTTGAGTGAACTGTTATTGTAGCACAAACCACAATTAGGTCTGATCAGGGTCACATGTGTCCACATTCTTTAAGCTGATGTGTCCCGCGTGATGGTTACATACACTATATTGCCAAAAGTATTTGCTCACCCATCCAAATTATTGGAATCAGGTGTTCCAATCACTTCCATGGCCACAGGTGTATAAATTCAAGCACCTAGGCATGCAGACTGTTTTTACAAACATTTGTGAAAGAATGGGTCGCTCTCAGGAGCTCAGTGAATTCCAGCGTGGAACTGTGATAGGATGCCACCTGTGCAACAAATCCAGTCGTGAAATTTCCTCGCTCCTAAATATTCCACAGTCAACTGTCAGCTGTATTATAAGAAAATGGAAGTGTTTGGGAACGACAGCAACTCAGCCACGAAGTGGTAGGCCACGTAAACTGACGGAGCGGGGTCAGCGGATGCTGACGCGCATAGTGCGAAGAGGTCGCCAACTTTCTGCAGAGTCAATCACTACAGACCTCCAAACTTCATGTGGCCTTCAGATTAGCTCAAGAACAGTGCGCAGAGAGCTTCATGGAATGGGTTTCCATGGTCGAGCAGCTGCATCCAAGCCATACATCACCAAGTGCAATGCAAAGCGTCGGATGCGGTGGTGTAAAGCACGCCGCCACTGGACTCTAGAGCAGTGGAGACGCGTTCTCTGGAGTGACGAATCGCGCTTCTCCATCTGGCAATCTGATGGACGGGTCTGGGTTTGGCGGTTGCCAGGAGAACGGTACTTGTCTGACTGCATTGTGCCAAGTGTAAAGTTTGGTGGAGGGGGGATTATGGTGTGGGGTTGTTTTTCAGGAGCTGGGCTTGGCCCCTTAGTTCCAGTGAAAGGAACTCTGAATGCTTCAGCATACCAAGACATTTTGGACAATTCCATGCTCCCAACTTTGTGGGAACAGTTTGGAGCTGGCCCCTTCCTCTTCCAACATGACTGTGCACCAGTGCACAAAGCAAGGTCCATAAAGACATGGATGACAGAGTCTGGTGTGGATGAACTTGACTGGCCTGCACAGAGTCCTGACCTCAACCCGATAGAACACCTTTGGGATGAATTAGAGCGGAGACTGAGAGCCAGGCCTTCTCGTCCAACATCAGTGTGCGACCTCACAAATGCGCTTCTGGAAGAATGGTCAAAAATTCCCATAAACACACTCCTAAACCTTGTGGACAGCCTTCCCAGAAGAGTTGAAGCTGTTCTAGCTGCAAAGGGTGGACCGACGTCATATTGAACCCTATGGATTAGGAACGGGATGTCACTTAAGCTCATATGTGAGTCAAGGCAGGTGAGCAAATACTTTTGGCAATATAGTGTACCATCTGCTTTACTGACATACCTCATGCAAAAAAAGAAGTACACATTTCAGGGTTTCCTCTAGGAGTTTGTTAAACATTAAAAAGCAGATCTAGTTGCTGTGGCGAGACATTAATGTTGGAACAATTGCTGCTTTAATGTGAAGTCGCTAAACTTACCAAAAACCCTGAGAAAAGTCACTAAACTTGTCTCTAGTTTCTTTTTTGAGAACAACTTACTAAAGAGGAATGAAAAGTCCCCAAATATAGCAAGAAATACGCAAAGCAAGAAAGTTGCAACACTGGACCGCCTACTGAGAGCAGCAAAGTAGGCACCAGTTGGCTTAATACATAGCCAGCTTTGTGGTGTGGCAGCTTTTATTTTATTCAAGAGAAAATTTTGATCTTGGACAGAACTGGCTGAAAGGATATGCAATTAGACCGAAAAAACAAGATCTTTAATTGAGGCGGCTAAAATGAGTCTCCTACACAAGGTTGCTTGACTCATCCTTATGCTACGTTCACACCGCAAGCAGCAGGAGCAGAAAAAATGTGCGTTCTGCTTCATTTTTGATGCTTGTACAAGTTTAGTTCTGACGTGCAGCTGAAGCATCTTTGCACATTGGGTCTGATGCACATTGGGTGGAGCTACCCTATCCTTTCTTTGCCTGTAACAATGGCAGCTATATTTGCTATTAAGTAAGAAAGTCCACCTGAAAACTTAATCTGTGCAGTCAGTTCATCAAGATTACGATCCTGCACTCAAATATTATTTTTGCTGTCAGAGCCGCTCAGACCCCTGTACACCGCCGGTGCTCTGTCACTAGGAATCTCGTTCAACAGCAGCCTCTGGCCTGGTTGCCTCTTCGCGGGTTGCCGCTACTGTTCGCGGTGGCTGGAAGTAGATGTTTGAGTTTTCTATGTACGTAATCCAAACTGTAGGCACACAGTAAATATTGCAGTGTTAAAGTAACACTTTGAGAGTACATTTGGTCCAAACTATTTCAGAGTGCGTCAACCATTGACTTTACATGTAAAGTATCTGCTTCTGCTGCCTCTGCTGCTTTAGGTGTGAATATAGCATTAGAGATAAGGTATGGTGTTAAGTCACCTGAAAGTGGCTCATAATAAAGCAGTTGCACTGAGGTATCACAAAGATCCCGCTGTGATGTTCAGATAATTAGGCTGCCTCCTGGGAATCCCTCTTTGGAGGTTTAACACAAAGGTCCTACAGGCAAAGGAACCCTGGGGAAAACCTTAATTACGCCAGAGGGACTAAAATATCTTCTAGAGTGGGACTGTCATGTGATGAACATTTTCTACTTTTTTGTTTAGAATTCTTTAAACAACACATTGGCAACTTTTGATGGTAAAGATATTTTAAATTGTTTTAATAGATTGCCAACTGAACATACTAGTTGTACTTTGATGCATTATAGGAGCTTTGTCATGGTAAGACCCTCTTGTTATAAAGGCATTTGGTGGCTGGTTGGACAACAAACAACTATGTCTGAACTCTGCCCTATTTTTTAGTCCTATCATTGACATTTACATTCAAGGTGATATTTTTTGTTTGTGTACGCCAACTTCCATGCAAAGGTTGTGAACTTTAAAAAATGACTCTGACCCATCTGTACAAGGTACGCATAATTTGGTTTGACAAATCAGTTTTTTTTGTCTACTTCATTCCTGGGTGTTTGATGTACAAACACTTTTAATTTGGATTTCACACAATGTTTTATAAATTAGACCCTTGGTTTGTCTTCCACTCCCTTTTTTTTCTACTTCCATCATAACCATAGCTAAAGAAAGGATGAGCAGGATTCCCTAAATAGCCGATAGACTCACAGGAATACCTGGTAGCCGTTCCTGTTTGTTAAACTTCCCACCTAGACAAAGGACAACACCCACTCTAACATAGCTTTCATCATTAGTGATGACGGGGAATCAGTGATGTTTATTTGGACAATCCCTTTTGAGAAAGCACCTTTCATTAAATGCATCACAACTCTGACATTAGAGGAATGATATTTGCATCCGAAGAAGACTGCATGTTCTTGGATATGAAACTCATGACATGTCTATTGGGATTCCGTACCCAGACATCCCAAGTTCCAAAAACTAATTTCAGTGAGATGCTTATCAAACAAGGCTCCTCAATTGCAGCCAACTACTCCCCAAAAGGATTGGTTTAATGCAGAGGACTGGTCGCATTGTGATGTAAAAAGTCACAATAACGAATAAAGATCTTTATTAAGAGAGGCAACTTAAAACAAACTGTAGGTTTATTTTATTTTGTAGTTTCCCTTGTGGTGTAAAACTTTTTTTCTTAATTCCACTGTTACTATTTGGAACCTCTCTGAAACAGTTTCCTGAGACCTTGCCTTCTTTTCCGTCCTTAGTTGCCAACTTTGACCCCGACACATTCAGCTTGATGCACTGCGAGTTCTGCAGCGCCGGCTTCGACACACGGGCCGGCCTGTCCAGTCACGCTCGGGCTCACCTGCGGGACTTTGGGATCACTAATTGGGACGTTACCATCTCACCTATCCACATTTTGAGGGAGTTGTTCTCCAGCAGGCCAGACCTGATGACTACAGATCCCCCTCGCAGTCTCGGCAGCTCTTCGGAGGAAGACGAAGTTGAGGATTGCGATGAGGGGGACTCTGGGGACGGAGGAATTATTAAGGTTAAGCTTGAAGGGGAGACGAGTGAAAAGAGCCCCCACCCCTCTGACTCTGTTGACCTGAGTTCAGGATATCATCGACGCAGGAAGAAAAAGAAAAGACTGGAGGACCGTGATGGTGAGTCTCCTTTATTAATATATGGAAGGGATCATTTTGCCTGGTCTTTTTTTTTTTTTTGCTTGGTTGATAGACGTCATTAGTTTCTTGGCCATTTGATGTGGATGTTGGAAATAATCAAAGATTATCCAATCGGGTAGCAAACAGGGCTTAGAGGAAACCCTTCAAGGAGCTTAATTTGTTCTATAAAAAAACAGTTTTGGCTTTTGTTTTGAATTATTGTCCTTTTGGAACCAATGTTACCAAATATCAACCAGCTGTCTTAACCATGTTTGGACAGTAGTTTCCTTGTTCAAAGAAATCCTCTACCCAGATTAATGCTTTAAAACTGCCATGTTTGAGTTGCTATGGACTGACAGGAAATGTTCCCTTGCTTCTGAAACCTTTGTGCTTGATTATAATCTTTACCTTTACAAGCAAAATACTTTTTGGAGGCAAGAAGTTTTCCTGTCAGACGAAGAAATATTGAGTTGTTAGTTTTGAGTCACAAATAGTCCGAAACCTAAAAATGTTCCTGGCTGTTAAGCATGGTAGGGGCAGCATCATGCTGCGGGTTGGTTGAGAGCACAATTTAAAATCCATTGTCTTACTTCTAAAGTTAAATGAAAAGTTTTTGAATCTGACATTGTTTGTCTTGAAAAGGCCATTTTGCTGTTTTGGGCATTTGGATGTGTGATGTGGACCATGTCACACAGCTGTTGGGCCGAAATAAAAGTTTACTAGCTATATTGTCTCCTAATGGCAAGAATGAGTATTAAACTGATTTATTACCCATTGTTTTCATTTTTCAATCCCTACATGTTTTATTTTATACCCAATCCATTTGTTTTTAGCACAACCAAGGATAGCTAGCATACAGCGAGAAAGAAGAAGCTTTTCAAACTTTCACTGGCTTTTGCTCTCGGTCTGCTCTGCCCGCCCAAAGAGGAGTGATGCTTCATTTGTAAAGCATTAATATCAAACCTAAAACTTGCGTCTCGTTGTATGACGGTTCTCATAATTGCATATAGAGAGCCGATAGGTGCATGACTTCACCAGTTCATTAATGCATTTAACAGCCATGCTGTGAGATCATATGAAACACATGCATTGCTGCTTCTTCCATTTGGTATCCATGGTTCATGTTTTGTTTTTTGTTAATCAATGTTTCTTTTTGTTGTTGTAAGAGATTTGCTATTGTTGTGTCATTTTTTTTTATCATGTAAATGGAAAAAGTTTTTTTTTTCTATAGGGGCAACGAACACAAGAATGAAACCAAAAACAGGGCAGAAGTTAATCATTCATATTTAAAGTGAACCAAAAGCCATTTTTATTAGTTTGTCTTTTTTATTATTTATAAAAATTAATGATATAATAATTAATAGAACCGTCCGTATGGAAGATTGGTTAAACAAACGTCCAAGATAAATTGGTGTTCGCATCCGTCCTAAAATACGTATTATTAGCTCTAATCATCATCACAAACTGTTTTCCTCCCATGCTGATGTTCCAGCTGTTGGTTAAGTGGGTAAACGTCCATTACCCCAACAACGTCTTTCAGGCTTTATTTACTATCAAAAAATGCTTCTTCTTCCATTTCTGCTCATGAAAAATCAAAAGTAATGGCTTCCCTTGTTATTCAACTTTATTTTGGAGCTGGCAATGGCTTTGCCAGGTGTCAAACATGTTAAAATTAATTATTTCGATTCTAGCTCAGAGAAATGGGTTCCTGTTATGTTTTGGGAAAAGGCTCAACAAGGCGACGTTCCTCCCTTTATCAGTATCCAGGAATCTGTTCAATCCAACAGCTAAACGGTTAAAAAACAGAGAAACATAAATGATGTTCCAACGGGATAACTATTACAAATACGTCAAAACTGTGTGGAAAAATTAAGCGAACATTAAACTTTGGAAAATGTCCTATAATACCCAGAAAGCAGAAACCGCCCCAGTTTAGGTGAACCACACTAATTCTGCAGAGAAGGGTGGATTTAACAGGAGCATTTGAAACATTCCTGTGGTTGTTTATTTTGTGTGTTTCTGATGGATTTCACAGTTGTTATCTGTGGTGAGATAGTGATTGGAGTTTGAACTTGTAACCCTGTAATAATGCCAGGAACTCCTAATGTAAGAGAATAAAAATGGCACTGCATGAGTAACAGTGTATGGTGTGCCAATTGAAAAGTTATACAGTGAAAACTAAGAGCAATATTTATGGTTATTTAGCATGTTGTCAGATGTTTACCATCATTGCACTGTCATTCATACATTAGAAATATCACAGTTCCAAAATTAATATTTAAAATGACCAGCTAAAGATTTATTTAAAAAATGAAATATGTATTTTGTTTAACTAAATATTTAGAGTGCAAATTAGCTATTTATTGTGAAATTAATATATAGCTTCAAACTAAATGTTTTGCTTGGAGCTAAATGTTTTGTCTGTAAACTAAATATTAAGTTAACAAAATAAATATTTAAATTGAAATAAACATTAGCTAGCACCAAGCTAGCTAAATGTTTAGCTAATGTGCAAATGAAATTTGCTAATAAGCGGAATTGGACTTCCAAAACAAAAGCCTGTGAACCTCGGGCATCTTTGGACAATGTGACACAAAACCAAATGCTTGTAAACTAAACATTTAGTTTTTGAGATCAATCTAATTTGTAATAACAATAAAGTAAATCAATCAAGCTCTAAACTAAATATTTAGTTTGCAGACAAAGTTTTTTTAATTTGTGAAATAAATATTTAGCTTACAAATGTAATATTTAGCTTGTGAAATAAATGTTTGGTTTGTAAAATAAATACTTGCTGACAAAATAGTTCACTGGCAATCTAAATATTTATTTTGGAACTTTGATATTTAGAATTGTATGGCGGAGTATTAGGGCCAGGATAGAGATTTTTTTATTTTGAGAATAAAGTTATAATATGAGAAAAAAGTTGAAAAATAACAAGAATGAACTCATACCACATCATACCACAACCCGTTTCAGAAAGAAAGTTTTAAGCTCTGACAGCATATGATGGCCAACCAGCTCCACCAATCAGCAACCTGGGTCCACTTTGACCTGCTGCCTAATTTGATGCTGCTGTGCTAAACAATTTCCATATTTTTCAAACTGATGCCAAAGTGTAACTTCACATAATGGTCAACATTCCTCATTTTGGGAAAAAAAAGTGCTTCTTGTGAGTTTTGTCATAAAATAAAACTTTATTCTCATATTCTTGTAATTTTACGACTTTATTCTCGTAATTTTATGACTATTCCATAATTTCACGAATTTATTCTTGTATTTTTATGACTACTCTTCTATTTTTGTGACTTTATTCTCGTAAGTTTATGACTTTATTCTTGTAATTTTATGACTATTCTCTTTGTGACTTTATTTTCCTAATTCTAGGACTTTATTCTTGTAATTTTATGACTTCATTCTCATTATTTTAGAACATTATTCTCGTAATTTTAGGACTATTCTTATAATTTTACGACTTTATTCCCGTAAATATTATGACTTTATTCTTGTAATTTTATGACTATTCTGTTTGTGACTTTATTCTCATAATTTTAGGACTTTATTCTGACAATTTTAGGACTTTATTCTCATAATTTTATCACTATTTTTGTAATTTTACGACTTTATTGTCGTAATTGTATGACAATTCTCTTTGTGACTTTATTCTCCAAATTTTAGGACTTTTTTCTCGTAATTTTATGACTATGCTAGTTGCAACTTTATTCTTGTACTTTATGACTTTATTCTCATAATTCTAAGACTTTATTCTTGTAATTTTATGACTACTCTTCTATTTTTGTGACTTTATTCTCATAAGTTTATGACTTTATTCTTGTAATTTTATGACTATTCTCTTTGTGACTTTATTCTCATAATTTTAGGACTTTATTCTTATAATTTTTTGACTTTCTCCTCATTATATTTCGACTTTATTCTTAAGATAAAAAATCTGTCCTGGCCCTTATACTCCGTCGTAATAAATGTATGAATGACATAGTGAAACAATGACTTGGAAAAACGCACCCTTTTTTTTGTCCTTTACAACACTCTAAATAACTGAAAAAATTTGCTCTTCATTTTTGACTGTAACTTTATTAACGGCACCCCATAGAGTTGGGCTGAGTGTGAGGTGAGTAAATAATCCCTTTAAAGAGAGGGTGTGTGTGTGAGAGTGTCCCCCGGATGCCCATGGTTGATGTGGCACTCGCTGCATTTATCCACTCCTCCGCCTCCTCTCGATTGGTCACGCCTTAGCTTCGCGGTGCATATGGGGGCAAAATGGCTGCTTCCAGCTCCCCGCAGACCCAAACAATAGCGGAAAAGCTGTCTGCTCTCTGCCGCCGGGAGTCCGATGCACTGCGGACCGGTGAGTACCGCGCGCCCTGACTCCCTGCGCTGCGCGTGCTCCCTGGAACACAGCGGCGGTCGCGTCGCGCGGAACGTCTCGCGCCGCATCTTCAGTCACAGTGTATCCAGACAACAGCCATTAAAAAAAATATTTAAAAAAGCCAATAAAGAAAAAAACAGTTTATCGTCTAAGCAGCATGGAAAGGAGAGTCCGTGTCGCTCACAGCCTCACAGGTAGCGCATGTCAGGAGCTCCATAAAGCGGTTCATTGTTATTGTTCCTGTTTTCCGACACTAATCGGGACATGTTTTGTTATTTGCAGTTGTTAAATGTGTAGTTACAGTTTGCGAGCACTTAACGGCTGAGTTGTTCCTTTTAACTCGCCTCGGGTGACGTGCGTTGTATATTTATTTATTTTTTAGCGCTGCGGGAAATGTAAAATTACCTACAGTTGCCCAATCCTCGCCATTTTCCTCTGCTTTGATATTTGATAGGAGGACACGCTGTGCTTTTCAACTGCGTCTGCATTTTAAAACAAACTGTCTGAGGCGTTTATAGTTAATATTGCAACTTTATTGGACTAAAAGTAGGAGCTTATAAATCATCTTCTCACAACTTATCCGGATAACTAGATTTAAAGTGTCACTTTTTTT